AAATGATATTTTATATAGTTAGTCACAGTGTTAACAGACTGATAGTTCTAACACTGTGTCTAAATAAAAGTATTATTCAATTTTATTTCTTTATTTCTAGATGGTGTTTTGAATTTTGTAGTGCTGAGGATGAAACATGGCAAATAAAAATTTCACAAACCCACAGAGTACAGTATGAAGGCTCAGTGTATGAAGAAGTTTCTGTCCTCAATATTTGATCACGTGGCACATGAGCTAAAGGGCCAAACAAGTTCCCTCAGGCCTCTTTGAAAAGGTACTAATCTTATCCAATAGGGCTCTGGCTCTGTGACATAATAGGGTCCAAGCACTACTTCTCAATACTATTGCTGTAATGTTAATTTTTAGCATAAGAATTTTGAGGAACACATACCTTCAGACTGCAGCAAATGACTTTTAAAATTAGGCTGCTTTCTTGCTATTGAATTACTTTCAACATTAATCCCTCAGCAGATAAATGCTTTTCAGTTTTTCTCCCATTCTGTGGCTTGCCTCTTCACGCTGTTCATTATTTCCTTTGCTCTAAGAAGGCTTTCAAATCGGAAGTAGTAGCGCTTGTTCGTTGTTGTTTTTTGGCCTACACTGTTGGGATACTATCCATAAGATATTGTCCAGTATTTTCTTCTAATATTTTTGCATTTTGAAATCCTAGGTAAATTTTTTTCATCTACTTTGGGTTAATTTTGTATATGGTATGAAATAATGGTCCAATGTCATCCTTCTGTATTTGGGCAGTTTCTCATCACATCACCATTTTTTAAACAGATTATCTTTTCTCTATGTGTGTTCTTGGCACATTTATTGAAAAATCAATTGATCATAAACATATTTATTTCTAGACTTTCTGTTATAGTCCATTGGTTTACATATGTATTTATTGCTAATACCATACTGCTTTGATAACCATACCTTTGTAATTTATTTTGATAGCAGGTACTATAATGCTTCCAAATTTATTGTTCTAGCTAAAAACTGATTTGTGTGTTTAGGGTCTTTTGTGGTTTTATATGGATTTTGTGGAGTTTTTTTTCTAATAACATTAAAATGCTGATAGAGATTGTCTTTAACCTATATGGCTTTGGGTAGTATGAATGTGTTAACAATATTAATTCTTCCAATTGTTAACATAAAATATCTTTCAACTTATTAATATCTTCAGTTTCTTTCATCAGTGTTTCCATAGTTTTTTAATGTGGAGAGCTTTAACTTCCTTGCTTAAAATTATTAACCTTTTTATTTTTGATTCTAATTTAAATGGGATTTTTTTTCTTAGTTTCTTTTTTGGATAGTGTATTGCTAATATGTAGCTATGGAACTATTTTTGTGTGCTGATTTTTGTAAACTGAAGCTTTACTTAATTTTTTAGTTGTAATAATTTTCTGGTGGGGTGTTTACATATTTCTTTACTAAAAGCATGCCGTCTGCAGGAACGTTTTACTTTTTCCTTTAAAATTTAGATGAACTCTAGTTGTTTTTTTCCCCAGTTGTATTCCCTTGGCTAAGACTTCCAGAACCACGCTGAATAGGGCATGAATGGGCATATTTTCCTTATTCTTGAGATTAGAAGAAAAGCTTCCAGTTTTTCCCAAGAATTATAATATATTAACTGTAGCTTCTCATACATAACTTTTGTTGTGTTGAAGTCACTTCTATATCTCTTTGTTGAGATTTTCTTTTCATGAAAGAAAGTTAAATTTTGTGAAATAGATTTTCTGCATCTGCTGAAGTGGTATTTTTATCCATTCATTCTGTTAATGTTTATTTTGAGTAGTTTTCTTTGAACTTCTTTCCAGGGCTAAGCCCCACTTGATTAGGATATGTCATCTCTTTCATGTGCCACTCAGTTTAATTTGCTACTAGTTTCTTGATGATTTTTACATCTATATTCATCAATAATTATTATGTCTTGGTTTATTTGGATTATCTGGCTTTGGTATTAAGGTAGTGCTAGTCTTGTAAAATGAACTTGGAATTGTTTACTCCTTGTCAACTATTTGAGAGAGTTTGAGAGGCATTGCTAATTTTTCTTTGAATATATAGCAGAATTTACCAATGGAGCTGTTAGTCCCAGGCTTTCCTTGATTGAGAGGATTTTGAATTATCATCAGTCTCCTCACTCATTATTAATATGTTGAGATTTTTTTCATGATTTATTTTTAGTATGCTCCAGATTTCTGGGACATTTCAATTTGTTCTGAATAACTTTACTTGTTAGCATATAATTGTTCACAGTATTCTATTATGATCCTTTGTATGCCTCTAGCATTATTTGTAATTTAATCTGTTCAACTTTATAATTTTATTTACTTGAGTGCTTTTCTTAGTCTAACAAAACTTTTGTCAATTCTCTTTTCTCGATTAAAAGTAACTGATAGCTAAATTGATTGTTTTAGTAGTCTATACTTGATGTCTCTGCTTTACCACTCTCTCCTAATCATTTGTGACTTAGTTCTTTACTTTTTCTAGTTTTTAAAGATGGTAGATCTTTCTTTTTCCTTATGTATGCATTGGTCATAACCATCTTCATTCTTAGAACTGTTTTTGTTACGTTCCAATGATTTTGATATCTTGTGTTTCTATTTTGTCTCATGATACATTTTTATTTCTCTTTTGATTTATTCTTTGAACAACTGGCTGTTCAGGAATTTGTTGTTAAATTCCCACATATTTCATTTTTTTTCAATTTTTGTCCTGCTGCTGACTTCTAATTTCATCGCAATGTGTTCAGAAAGCATAACTGACATGACTTCAATGCGTAGGAGGACTGCGTTGTTGGCATGCCAGTGAACGAGAAAGTCAATGGGGCATTCTTAACCTCTGCTTGATGATGAACTTACCACATAATTCCATTGGTTCCAGGAGAGTGTTAATTCAAGTGGGTTAAAATATAAACCATCATGATTTATCATACAGTATAATTTCTTTAAAGTCTTAAATTATAAAAAAAAATTCAGGGAGTCAGAAAAAATTACTTCAAATGACAAAAATCAATCAGGTTAAATGTTAGTTTCTTTTTTAAAAGTAGGAAAATAATCAAATTCATGTATGCTTGTGTGCATATGTGTATGTATACAAAGGGAGAGAAAGGGACAGGAATGAGAATTTAAGTTGTGGATAGATTCCTTATTCATTACCTAACATGTATATCTCAGAAATATACTTTCAAATTATTCAATTCATTTTTCCTATATTTATATAGGCTAAGGCAGTATTTTAAAAATCTTGTATCTCAACTTAAGACTGATAATTATATTTTAAAATTAAAAATGTATATTAAAGGTCTAATGGATCGAATTTTAATTACTTTTATATGGGTAACCCATAGCATATTTTAGTAAAAACTTGTTTCTTGTCTTTTGTATCCATTTACCTTCGTTTCCCTCTGCTCCAATGAGATAGACAAAGTAAAACAAATGATCTTGATGTTAGTTTTAAGGAAGCTTGAGCTTTACATAGTTGCCCCTAAACAGAGGGCATTCCCTCTGTATGTGTTCATTCTACAGCATGGATTGTTGAAAGTTGACCCAATCACCAATAAATGAATTCGTACACATTTACATTCAGATTACAAAAATGTATTTTGTGCCTATATCCTCTCTTTTCTACTCACTTGAAATACATTAAAGTTCATAACAGCTGTGTATGGCCTGAAGAAATCATTGGTGCCATTTGTGTTTGTCTTAGTTTACTCATGAAACAAAATACCAGGCACTTAAAGTTAGAGGAAAGGATCATTTTGGCCCACAGTTTATACAGATCTCAGTTGAATTGGCTTGATCTAAGGCACACTAGCATGGCAAAGGGATATTACAGAAAGCAAAACACAACAGCAGCAAGCCTGCCTTCCCTTTCTCCCTGTGTATTCCATCAAAGCTCTGAACCTATTGATGGCCGCCACCTATAACTAGAATGGGGCTTCCAGTACCCACACCCAGAACTGTGCCGACCCTATTTAGTTTAGTTATCACAGAACCTTAATCATAGTATCACATACCCTAGGTCCAGCCGCCTCCACAAAGGCCTCCCTGTGAGCGCATGCAGCTTTGGGGGAGCAGGAGAGACATCTAGCTACACAGCTTACTACTTGTCTTGTTCATCTGGTGTTTTACTTAGCAGTGCTGGTGCTGTGAGGTGAACCTAAGCCGTCCCCACATGAAACTGTGTCAAAGTCAGCTTTTAATCGTCTCCATGTTTCTCTTTAGAATGATCTGTGTTAATAAGGAAAATACCTTGATTTTTTTAAACAATAAATATTTTTAAAACTTATGTGACAAGTGTGTTGATTTCTAATCTGATTCTAGGCCATGGTTATGAAAACAAGTACTTCATAGGGTACTGGAAAAACTTGCTGTGACCCTCATTGTGAGCAATTATAACTTAAATTATACAACTTATATAAAATAAGGGAGACAGGTAGCCTATGTGCATTTCTAGGTGTGTCATTTTCTGTGGAAGGGATGATTCACTGCAATAATATACACATGAGTTCTCTTTGACTTGATCTTGTACTCTCACTTAAAATATTTTTGAATCAATAATAAAGAAATGCTGATTATGCAGAATCCAGAGTTTATTGCTTCTCTTTGGGGCAAAACTTTAAAATATATATGCAAATTGGATAAAAATATGATTGTGTAAGTAGTGGGTTAAAAATACTGGCAATTTTTAATAATGAAGAATCACTAGATTCTCGCTATCCTATAATTAGTTTGCTAAAATAAATACAGAATTATAAACAGATGCCTACCCAGATGTGGTTGAGCTGTTACTCTCCACGCGACATTATTGGCTGTTAATAAGAGACATCTAATCAAGCTGGATAGATATTTCTTGAAATGATGCATGGTACGCAGTGCATGCTCTCATTGTGCTTCCTGCCATTACGGAATAATGCGTCTTATTTGGAAATACAATGATCGTTTCTGTTAAATCATGCTCAATGAGCTTATATGGTAACACCTATATTTTGTGAATCATTTCAGATTTCAGAGAGCTATGCCTTCCTACCAAGAGAAGCGGTGACTCGATTTCTAATGAGCTGCTCAGAGTGCCAGAAAAGGATGCACTTAAACCCAGATGGAACAGATCATAAAGGTAGCCACAGTGTCGAATCGTGAGATCTGAAGTAATTTTACTCATAATGGCAATTTATAGCTCACATTTTTGTAAAACTGTAGTAGACTGAAACAGTTCAACAAGTCAGGTTATCTCATTTTTTCAAGTAGGAGGAAGTGAGTTTTGAATATCCACTTACAAAGTACTTCAGTGCCTGCTCCTAGAGGAAAGTTTCAGCTGTGGAAAATAACATTTTTTTTTTTACTATAATAATGTTTTAATTTCCCTCTATTGTGGTATTCCAGGGTGTTTTAGCTCTACTCAGCAAGAAAATTGATTTTTATCAATGTCCTTTTAAGTTTACGATTTCTAATTTCTAGGAATCAATGAATAATATGAAATTTCTTCAATAAAATTTTATCTACGAATGATTTGACTTTAGATATCATTAAAATTGTCTAGTTTTTTTCCTAAATACAGATTTACTTCAGTGATTAAATTGTTCTCAGTAATATATATTTGCTACTTATTGCCATGTATGTGAAGATGAGCAGTTTGGTCAATAAAAGAAAATAAAAGTAAATTTCCTTTGGCACTCAGATGTAATATAGAAAATAATTGTGCAGCAAAGGAGAAAAACGCAAGTATCTGTGTTTAATAATTAGACTAGTTTTAGACTGGGTGTGGTGGCACTCTCCTGTAATCCCAGCACTTGGGAGGCTGTAAACAGGCAGATCACTATTAGTTTGATGTAGCAGTGAGACCCTGAACACCCTGCAGACCCTTCCCTAAAAATAAAAAAAAATAGTTTAATTTTTGAGATTTAGAATATTTAAACTCTCCCCTGTAACTAGAAATAATTTATTCATAGTTTTTAGTTTAGTTCACCTTTATGGAAAGTCATCTTTCTTTTTTCTTTTTTTCTGTAATTCATTTACAATGGTACCACGCTTTTAAACTTTTGGTATCTAGAAGCCTATTTTAATTTAGAAAACTTAGGTTAATCTGCAGGTGGAGTGTAGTATCGCTTTTATTACCCATTAAAACTGTTTTGTTACAGATAATGGGAAGCCTCCCACCTTGGTGACCAGCATGATCGACTACAACATGCCAATTACCATGGCCTATATGAAGCACATGAAATTGCAGCTGCTCAACTCCCAGCAAGATGAGGTAAAATGAAAACATCGAAGTGCACATCACTTAAAAAATGGAGTGAAGCTTGATAAACATGACTATGGTAATAAGCATGATGGCATCTTGCAAGGAGTAATTCATTTTTTTTTTTTAATGAAAGAATTCACTAGGCTTGCACAGATCAGGAAAACAGGAAGTGACATCAAGAGCTAGAAGCACAATCCCTGTCTTAACCAACCTTAGTGTTATGTAGGTTTTGACCCTTCCTAAGAAGGAGCCACTGTCCTTACTCAAGCACTATTAAACTAATGTTGGTAAATTACTAGGAAGTTCCTGGCAGGAGAAAGTGAAAGTATATTAACAATGAATATCTAAAAGAAATTTGAACTCTTAAGAGTAGTTTGTCAATCAAAAAACAAACAAGCAAACCAAAAAAACCTATTTCATAGGCACATCAACTATTATCATTTCTCCATTATTCATATCATGCATACAATTTAGTTATTTATCTCTTAACCATTATTTGCTATGTTTCCCCACTCCTTTGCACTTTATAGAGAACATCTGTGGTGATTCTTCTCAATTAGAAGTATTTAGATGCTTCAAATCATTCTATTCAATTTGTATAGTGAGAATTTAGCAATGTGCTGGCATGTTTTAGATACTAAATTATATTTGTTAAATATGCTCTACAGTCCCAGTCATTGCTCAGCTTAGTTGAAGAATCTCAAAAACACAATTAAGATATACATGTGCACTCCTTGGATTTTACAAAATATTTTCCAGGGATGTGGCTCAGCCCACAAGAACCTGCCTGGAAGCATGAAGTTCTAAGTTTCATTCCTGGCACCAAACCAAAGCAAACCAAACCACATAAAACCAAATATGTAAAATCAGACAATGCACAGTATGGATTTAGTGAATCCTCGTCTTGACTGCCAACTGGTTGGTAATCATTAAGTAGTAGAAAAATACAAATTATCCATACGACAAACAGTACTCAGGTGAAAAGGTTAGCTCCTTGTAATTTTTCTACAATAGGAAATATAATACTTTACCTTTCAAATGTGACATGGTTTGGTAAAGAATGATTAAAATCTTTTAAAATTATTCTGTTGAGAAGCTTTTTTCTTAAAATTCCAATCAATCTTTTATTTCCTCTGTATTTGACCAAGTTCAATCTTGAAAATGCAGTTTTAAAATGCATCTCAACCTCAGTGTATCTTATTCATATTAGTCTCTCTGAGAATATATTTATTCATGCTATGGCAAGATCATATTATATATTACCAGATGGCTAACTATAAATGATTGAATAAATAGCAATAAAATCATTAGGCTGAAGACATCAAAGATAATTAAGAAATATTAGTGTCTATTCCTGAGAATAAAAAGTATTATCCCCATGATTTATTATGTAATTGAAAAAACTGAAGACTCATAAATGAGTTAAAGCTGTCAAGTTATTTGTAGGAATTTGATTTATATTTTGGTATTTTTTCTATACAAAATGGTAAAATCAACTTTGTGCCAACAGTGGGGCTCATATATACTGTGTCCTGGCTTCTAAACGAATCATAAGTATTTTATACAAAAGAAATAGATCCTATTAAATTTACGAGTGGATTAGGGAAATAATTGCTGTTTTTCAATTTTGAAAATATTAAATTGGATTATGTTATATTAAACTATTCAGATAAATCAATAGATTAGTTATAAAATTTTAGAAAACTGTAATTATTAAAAGATATGAAGAAGCTTAAATAATGAAACTCACAATAAAATGAAGTTCAAATGGAATATACTTTGGTAGTGAATTATATTTAAATTTGAATAAACATTAGTTCAATAAATTCACTTGTATTTTCATTGAGTATCTTCTTGCACCTGGTGATTTTGGCGATGAGCCATGAATAGATTGATTAAAAAATTCCTGCCTTTATGAAGCATATCTTCTAATGGGAGGAACAAACACTAAAGAAAATATAAACCATAAAAGTATGTATATAAAAAGTTGCTAAATGTTATTAAGGGGAAAAAAGAAGGTCAAGAATAAACATCCTTGTAAGCACTAGGAATTATAGAATGCAGTTGAATGGTAGAAGTGCATGCTTAGCATGCACAAAGCTCTAGATTTGATTTCTAGCCTCATAAAGATAAACAAATAACTTCATTGTAAGGGTACCATTTAAAAAGAACTGGAAAACCCCAGGCACTATTAGGTAAATAGCCTGTCTACAGCAAGTGTACTTTCAGTACTGTGGGGACAGGGGAATATGTTGGCAGCAAAATGAAAAAGAGAAATAATAATAGTAGAAAACATTATAGCAATGGTGAAAAGTCAGGTCATGTAGGGTCTTATATTTTAATAACCTTTTTTATTTTGTTAAAATCCACAGGACACTTTTATCAGTAGTCATGTTATTAGACATAGTCTTTGGCAGAGTCACATAGATTGCATGATGAGAGTAAATTGAAGAGAAGGAAAGGGAGGGAGAAGAGGGAAAGGGTGGGAGAAAGGAATGAGGATTGCTATCTACATGTACCAACTACACAAAAGGAGAATAAACATTATCTACTTGAAATATATAATAATGTATTAAATGACTTTCTCATTGCTGGAACAAAATACATGAGTCATAAATTAAAGAAGGAAATCTTTTATTTTCTCTCACAGTTTGTAGAGGGTGGTGAGGCAGAAGGGAAGGCAGTCCATAGCAAAGGAGGCAGGAAACAGTGAGCCTTCCACCTTCTCCTTTTTCTTCCATCCAGGCTGCAAGCCTATTGGTTGATGTCACCCATACCCAGCATGGGTCCTCCCCCTTTAGTAAATCTATCACCCACACCTAAAACTATGTTTTTAAATTGAGACAATTATATTTTTAAAATTTCAGTGCACTCATGGACACAGAAAATAATAAAACACTTGATTATTAAATTGATCACTATATAGCAAATAACTCTGTAGAGAAATATAAACCAGTTATAAATTTAGCTAGCTGATACTAATAAGTTCAAGTCAAAGTTGTTAGTTAACTACCAATAGAAATTGGTAGTTAATCTAAAATATAGTTTTTTCCCATAATTTTATTGAGAAACAAATAGCAATGAGACAGTTTCAAGCCAAATTGGTAGGACAGTTTGAATAATTAACACATTGCATACATTCTTCCTAGTGGTTATTTGCTGTACAAGATGCAGACATGATATCCTATTTATAAACACTACTAGAATAAATCCCTCTATTCATTAAGAGAATGTAACTATAGATCTATCCTAACCATTTGAATACACAGATACAAAATGGACATTCATCGGTGTCCCCTTTTTTGTTTAGTTCCGTCATTTGAATATTATAGGTGTGTAAACTCAGCAAAATATTCTAAAAGAGTCCAGTAGCCCATAATAGTACTGGGTCTTCCACTTCACTGGTGATGTCAGAATTTGTTGACCTCAGACCCCTACAGCTCAACATAACAGCATGGCTTTTTCTTATATTTCATTTTTATACTTTTCTGCTGGATGGTTAAGACCAAGATAAAGCAAGACTTTTGCAACAAGAGTTGTAGCTTTTGGGTCTGATAAGGTCAATGAAATCTCCTCAGGATTTTTCCTGAGATCCTGTACCTCAGATTGTAGAACCTTTGTCAGTGTCAGCCATGTGGATGAGTCACGGCCATTTCTTGGCCTAAAACTATCAAGCCAATCATTTGACTGATGTGTTACACAGCCATGAACCAGTGCCTCCAAGAAGTCTCACCTATGAGCACATGGTGCTTTGGATGGGTCATCATCTAGATATATGTCACAACACTAATACAACAAAACTTCAAAAAACAATGAGTTTGGGTCCAAAATCAACAAAACATTTGCTCTTTCTACATAAAAAATTGGCTTTTGGGAACCTTTTAGCTTTGATTTCCCCCACAAGCTTGATAAAATTGAAAATGTAACTGTATTATTAGATGACCTTTCTAATGGAGAAATAATCCCAACTGGTGAATTGTATCAGAAAAATCATTAGTTTTCTCTGAGTTACATGGTTCTTCTAACTGACATCTTCCTTGTAGGGACCTGAGAAGCATTAATTGTGGATTTATGAGACATTGTCTCTTTAGCAGATCAGATTTCTTTGCAGAGTTCCTAGTCTACCCAATTTTATTACTGTTGTCTCATATCTTAACTTTCACAGGGTAAGATAATGAAAATGGTTAATCCTCTAATCTTCTACAGGACTTTACAAGGGGACTGGACCCTCATGATGTTAGTTGCTTCTTTTTTTTTCCTACACTTCTAAATTAGCCTGGTGTATGAGTGGTCAGTGGTAGTTTTAGGAGTATACATTTTAGTCAAATCTCAAAAAATGTCCCAGTGAATGTTTTTAAAGAAAAGAATAGAGGTTTCAATTAAAAACATAGTGAAATGAGGTCAGATTATAAGTATGTATTATGATTTACTGAAAGATTGGATGTAGTTATTCAAGAATGGGAGAAGAAAATGATGACTTCAATTTTTTTTAAATTTAAGCCAGTTGTGTAGAATTACTATTAACTGGAATAGGAAAGATTGTTTGTAGAAAATATTTGATACATAGTATTGTAAATTAAATTGTAAGCTCTTTATTACTAATCCAAGTATCTAGATTTAAACATTTATTAAACATTCCAATGAGTTTGCTAATTACCCGTTGATATGTGAGATTAAAAGGAAGCTCTGACTCAATCATAATCTTGGACACCATTGGCAAGTACTATATAAAGCCTTGTGCCTATTAAGGTTATGACTATGGATGGAAGCAAAAAGCCCAATGCGTTTGTCTTAGGAAATTCTAATGCTATTGTATCTGGGAAGTCAGAAGGAACCCTAAGAGAATATGAGAAAGAGTAGCCAAAGAATTAGTAAGGGATTTAAAAGAATTTTTAATCTATAAGAAGACTGGAGAAACTCTTTTAAGGAGTCCAGAGCAATCTATTATATCAAATAGACTTATAAGTCAATTTAAAATAAGACAAAACATTGAATCCATGTTTAACCTT